AAATAGCATATCTGTTCATCAAAAGTGCTGAGATGAGATTCTGTGCCGTCTATGGTTGAGAATAAATTTGTGGGGGATCTTGCCCCTTTTTACCTTATACTGTGTAGTAAGCAGTACGCTAGTGTTTTATTCTGATCACAGCCAGAGAGTGAACTTTCTTATAATCTTTTGTAGAGCCCAATTAATCTCTTTAAAACACTGGCTGCATGGTGTTGTTTCTTCAAAAAATAGTTGCAGTCGCTTAATGCATTTCCATCTTTGATTTAATTTCACTTCAATCAAATGAAGTGAACAAATAGTGGCTGGCAAACGTAAGTGCCTAAAGCAGTGGACCAGCTCAAATCACATGATAATATGCTTGAATAATCTGCATGCACGAATAAGGACTTATCTTGACAGCTATTGCTGCTTTCCAGTGGGTATTGATTTTGGGTTTCCTGCTCTACAGTTTCATGTCACAGATGATATAATTGAAAACGTGTTTACAGTGTTGCATAGCTTGAATAATCTGCATGCACGAATAAGGACTTATCTTGACAGCTATTGCTGCTTTCCAGTGGGTATTTATTTTGGGTTTCCTGCTCTACAGTTTCATGTCACAGATGATATAATTGAAAACGTGTTTACAGTGTTGCATCGCTCGCTGTGTGATTATCATGGCTGTGTTCAGAATGTACAGGCTTATAAATGCTGCTTATTTAAAACTGAATGCAACATTGATTGAAATGACACTGTTACATCATCACATGGCCTAATTACATGCTTAATTCAAAGAGGAAGGAATGAAAACAGCTATTAATCCAATCTTGTGTAGAATTATCTTAACGTCAGGCGGTAAGATCAAATAATGAGTCAGAGGTGTTAAAATCACAGATGTAATAGCGCCTAGTTTATGTATCACACTGGAACATTCATTGCACTGCATTCAATATTCCATCAGATGTAGAAGGTCTTTCGTGTGTTCTATACAGAAAATCTGCAAACTGTAGACAGAATCAATTCTGGAGAAGCATATCAGCATGCTGGCGTGTGAGTAATAGCCTACGTAAAACCACTTTTCCAAACGCAGTATATCAGATCTGTGGGTACACTGGAAAAACATGAAAATGTCTCCGATCGGTTCCAGAAGAAGCTAATAAAACATTTTAATGATTTTAGGAACTATTAGTAGGGAGTTTATTTTTTATTTTTTTCATTATATGCAGTGATTTAATGATACAATATGTCCTCACTGAGATGAGCAAACAGAGCAACTACAAATAAACATTTCAGTATGCATTCCAACAGAACAGTCTCCAGGGAACTTGCATGGATCAAACTGTTTTCTTGGCACTCAAGCATCATGAACCAACAACAAATCCTCCAGCTGGATCTGGGAGATACTAGCCCCATCTAGTGGCGAACAAGATCCCAGACGGCTCCTAAAAAGGATCTGTCACTGGCAAATATTAGAGAAATGTTGCTTGTATTTATTTATTTATTCAGAATACGCAGGTATTTTTGAAGGGTTGTTAATGGACGCCAGGTGGTGCAGTTCCGCTACACCAGAGACTCACACAAGTTTTTACAGTCCCTTTCTTGACACTTTTTGATTTGACAACTAGAAGTTATCAAAATTAAATGTTTTATGTTTTATTTTATATCACATTTCAATAATCTTTTGTTAAGTGTTCAATAAGTGCACTTGCTTTGATGTGTTGACTAACATACTAAAGCACATGCGAAGTACTTGACTTTAATTTGAACTGTAGTTATTTAATATTACATTTATTGTTAATATTAATGTTAATTACTTTTAAATGTCCTATATTGCAAATTCGTGATTACAAATGTGTAATTACAAATATATTTAAATTCATGATGTTCTCATAGACATTAAAGTATGTTTTATTTTAGTTTAGTTTTATATGCTTGTCAATACATTCTGCAATACACAATATATCAAAGACAACAGAATTATGAAATGACATGATGTACTAAAGTCCTATATGTGTGTCAAAAAACTTCTAAAGTTCAGCTAATCGCATTTAATCCTCTGGTGCGCTTCGGTCACTTTTGAACGAAAAATGTTCTGTTTTTAATTTTTTAAAATCACAGCTTCATCGGAATGGTACGAAACCTGGTGACTTTTATGGCATTTGGAATGTGAACACACAAAAAATTGAGGGCATGATTCGAGCTAAGTGGTCGTAAAAAAAAAAAAAAAAGTCACACTTGTGGTCTTCGGTCAAAAATGACCGACCATAGGAAATGAATGGAACATTGACAAAAACACAAAAATTCGGAGAATTTTTTCAGAGAATATGCCACAATGCAGAAAAAAAGTACACAGCAATGACGGGGTGAAATTTTAAAACATCAAGAGTGCAAAACCAACACATCCACTCACACACATGCGTACACACACACTTATATACACACACACACACACACACACACACACACACACACACACACACACACA